CGTTTCTCTATCTATCAACAAAGCGTTCGACGTTGGAGAGTAGCTAAAAAGGCGAAGTATGAATGGCAAAAAAGGTGAAAAACCGTTGATGACGCCATCGAGAACAAAAACATAACAGGCGAAAAAAAGAAGAATAAAAATAAACAATGGCAGAGATAGAAAAAAATATTATGTGTTGAGTGCGCGTTGCGGTTTTTTTTTCACCCTCTTCATCCTAGTTTTCATCTCTTTCTATACATTTGTTCGAGTGAACACAGACACAAGACGAAATATTCATACGGCTTTCAACGATACACGAAATGGAACGAAACGGAATTTTTTTATAGAGAACATCAGAAGTGTGGAAATCATTTTTCCACTTGTCTGCGCCTGTTTTGATTTCATTGTCGTTTTCAGCATTTCTGTTTGCTTGTGCTTTTGCAATCCTCACATTGACACATACATGTTCAATAGACTTCTTTGTCTTCATGTATGAAAATGCATGGTGATTTCAACTTATATTTTCGATGTTATGTGCATTATTACATCGGCAATGCTTCAAAGTGTTTATATTTGTGAAAATGGAAGATTTTTGCCAATGATGATAATGCGAGAGAGAAAGAGAGTGAGAAAAACGGAAAAGCTTCGACTTATGTATTTTATAGAGACCATCTATTGTTTTCCACTTTGCTGCACACGGATTCTCTTCCACATCCACTTCTATTGGCAATGAACAACGACACAACGAAAGCACATATTGCATGAATTAAAGGCAAAGTGTTTTGCTTATATCAACACTTATGTTCACATTTCACAACTTGAACTTTTTTCATTGTTGCTGTTGCTGCTGCTGCTGTTATTTCGCCTTCTCTCTATATTTTTGTTTGTGAGTTAAGTAACCACAAGAATAAGAGAGCTTTTGATGGATGTTGTATGACGAGTGATAACCGCAGAATATGTGTGTTTAACAATCATAAATACCAGCAAAATGAGCACTGGATAAAAACAACAAAAAGAGCAAATGCAATGACATGTCCTTGATAAAAAGCTGTGTCATTTCCATGAAGAAAGAGAGAGAGACAGAGTTTTATGCATACGACAGCGAAAAATGGAAATTTCGTATAGAGTATGCGTTTTATGTTTGTGGTAAATCCCATTGAAAATTAACAACATACACAATTACACACAACCTCACCTAACATTTGTTTTGAAAAAGTTTCAATGAGAAACGTTATTGTTTCTGAATAAATCCTTAATAATCTTTTTGGTGTTTTTTTAGTTTGATAATAAAACACTGGTTTTTTAATAATCTCCCGTCGGTTTTTTAAAAGACAACCAATTTTGAGATTTCAAACTTTGAACATGCTTTAAAACTGTCGCTCGCTTCAGAGTTTTTGGAAAGTTTCTTTTTTCTGGTAAACCACTGAGATAATTTGAAATGTCCAGTAAACAAACTCTATATTGACTAATATTTCATTTTGTGAAGTTATCAGAGAGTTGCAGCAGAAAAAATGCTATTTTTTTCTGATGATGACATAAATACCATTCGCCGAAATGAAACAAGCTCCTGGACGAGGACGATGCTGACTACAATGTTGACAGACTCAAGTGCAGGCATTATTGTGTCGCTAATTGAAATACAAACTTTAATCTGAATTTTTTTGTTTTGCTTAAATGTAATTTTTAATGCAATACTAAGCCACCAACTTTTAATAACCATAAAATAGACAAGCAACACTGGAAGGCTTTCACTTCTTTTAACAGTATATCAGTTTTTTGAACAAGTAAAAGTTGAATCAATTTTAGAACATCCCAAACAGCATTTCTTTTATCTTTACTTCATCGGTGGATTTTTCCATAAGAGTATTTGCTTCGTATATTTTATTCACAGTTTTATTTCGATCATTTCACTGTAAAGAATGTGTTTTTTTAACCACTTGTCCGCCATCAATCGAAACGTAATCTTCCATCATGTGAAAAGGTTTACAGCCAATTGGAACCCATCAAAGGTGAGGTAATTAGTACATCTGTACTTATGAGAATTCAATTCTCAATGTGCTTTGCATTCGAATTAAACAATTTTTTGTGATCAAGACATAAAAAAATGAGGCTGCAAAAAGAAAGCTCAATTAGTTTCGGTTGTATGCAGGTTTCAAAGAAAAATCGAAATCAAAATAAAAAAAACTCTTTCCCGGCTTGGTGATTTGTATGGCAGTTTATTCAATGAAAAAAAATATGCGTCAAGTATTCTCGCTCCAAAGAAATAATAAGAGCATTCGAAATGTTCGTTTATCAAATTGAGGAAAAAGTAGTGTACAAAGTGATGCTATTATAGTCGCTTGGATGTGATGAAATAAATGGTAAAATGAATTGCGAATGGCATACAAAAAATGACGCGGTTTCATTTTTTTGCTCTCTCTCCGCCTTTCGTCACAATTGCCGACAGAAAATTAAAAGTAATCAAAGTTTCAGCTTTAATTATAAAATAAATGAAGCGAATTCATACGGAATTTTAATGTAATATTGGCTATAACGTAATTTGCGTTCGTTTCATTTTTGCATTTGCTAACGATTTCATTCGTCGTTTTTTCCTCTCTCTCTCTCTCTCTCTCTCTCTCTCTCTCTCTCTCTCTCTCTC